GGTCACACTAAATCAGAGTATTGTCCCAATAATACACATCTTAAAAAAGAGTCTCTTTACATTGTTTAAAAGTCATTTTGATAAATGCTGGGTGAATAAATACCTTCTTTGGATATTTTAAAGGAAAGCACTTCTTTTGCTAGTATTTATTTTAAATGAAAGATCATCATGGCCAGGTTTTTAAAAAATTATTATCGTTATTCATTTTTGGCTTTACAAGGCTGGCGAATATGATTCTCATTTCTGGCAACAGCCAAGCATTAGAAATGGGTCATCATAGTGTTAATGAGGGAGTGCACTGAACTAAAGGTGTGAGGTAGGGGTGTTTCCTGTGCAGTGCCTGTGCGGTTGCTTGCCTGTTCAATCGTGTGTTCATTTACACCTCTAAGACATTTCTTAATTGAAATGGGTCTATTTAACCCAGTTCAGCTTTATATACATATATATGGGATCTCAGATAACAGGCAGAATGTGAGGGAGAACATTAGCTGTCTGTATGCAAAAATTTTTAAATGAATTATTAAATGAAACATTAAAACCAGTCTTCAGAGGACAGCATTTTTTACATGATTCCCATAGTCTGTATCTTTTTTGCAATAGAACTATTCGTGTAAATTGGGAGCCATATTCTGTCAGATCTGTGAGTAGCATTTCCATGTGTGGTGTTAGAAGAATCATTGTAAGAAAGAGGTATTAGATTTCAGAAAGATGAAAGAAAAAAACATTGAAATGGCCTAATAAAATTTAAATTTGCAAAATATGATTTTATACATTTTCATCTGGGCATAAATTTAATAGATCACCACCTAGATGTATTTGGGGTTTCTGCCAAATCTCTTTAATTTCTTTGCAACGGAAATTATAAAAGCAGAGAAGGGTCTGTGTGTGTGTGTGTGTGTGTGTGTGTGTGTGTGTGTGTAAAACAGTCAAATGTTATAAATTGTCTTTTATTGTAACTTAAGTCTCCTTGAAATTCTTTTCTTTTTTTGTTTTTTGAGATGGAGTCTCGCTCCTTCACCCAGGCTGGAGTGCAGTGGCACAATCTCGGCTCACTGCAACCTCCGCCTCCCAGGTTCAAGTGCCTCTCCTGTCTCAGCCTCCCAAATAGCTGGGACTACATGCATGTGCCATGACACCTGGCTAATTTTTGTATTTTTAGTAGAGACAGGGTTCACCATGTTGGCCAGGCTGGTCTTGAACTCCTGACCTCAGGTGATCCGCCTGTCTCGGGCTCCCAAAGTGCTAGGATTATAGGCGTGAGTCAGTGCGCCCGGCCTGCTTGAAATTCTTTAGTATGATTTTTAAAACACGAAAGAAGGCTTGAACACTAAAAGATTTCCTAGAAAATGGGGTAAGTTTGTGCCTGCCAGTATTTTTGAGTCCTACCATTAAAAAAGTACTCAGAATTCTCTGAATAATGTTTTAAATAGCTATAGCACAGTAAAATAAAACTAACCAAAAACCCTATACACACACACACAGACACACACACACACACACACACACTCCTTACTACTAAGGAATATCTATCTTCAGAAAAAAAAAAAAAACGAATTTCAGGGGATTGGAGACAGCTTAGTCACATTTCGTGTTCCTCTAAATGCTAAAAGTTTCTTTGCCTAATATTCCTTTATTTTTTCTCTTCCCTAATACTGCTTTCTGGTATGGACAGACATCTGGGTGGCAACCAATCAGCAAGTTATCAATCGGGGGAGTTTGAAAATTACTGGAAACCACAGAGTTACTCCTTGTAGCTGCAAGGTGAAAATGCTTATATTATGCCTGCAGTGGCATTCATCATCTATCCCACCCTTGATTCTTGAGGAATTTATTTTCTAGGCCCCAGAACTGGATTTATGGTTTTCTTAATGAATCCAAAGCCATGTGACCAACATGGTGATTGTCACGATCTTTGTTTTATTTCCAGCACCTTAGAAATTCGTGGCCAGTGATGACCATTTTCTGATTTCCATCCCCAATCTTTTGGCATGTTAGATTGATGTCTATTTTGGATTGGGTTCATTTGTGAAACCCATGATAATTAACTTCTGTCTTAATCCATCATGGCTTTCTAGTAACTCCTGTAAAGTTTCTGAGATGGGGCCTTTCATCCATCCAGTGCATTCCCTAATTTTATGCCAGGATGTGTTCTGAGCCTTCTGATCCTTTCTAAGTCCCTGCTTTCTTAGAGAATCCCGTCTTTAGGTCAACACTGGCTTTCCTTTGTAGATTTCACTATTTCTTGCAATCAGTCCTAAGATCTTTTCCATCATCTTGGAGCTAAGATGGTCTGGTTGATGTTTCATCCTCAGTGTTTGAAAGAAGATCTCCATTTCTCCTGGGCTCTGCCCTTGGCTGATTTCTACACAACCCTATTCATGTTGCTAATGCCCAAACAACCCCCAGACTTGGAATCAATAAACCAACCCATTCATCTATTGCTGCATGTGTTGAAGGGGCAGCATGTCTGAGTTCTCTCTTGGTACAACATCTCCAGGATCTTCAGGTTATCTTTCAGCACGACAGCACAGTTTTTGGAAGTTCATGCACACATCCAACCTCTTCCTACCTTCCCTCAGTGTCACCTTTAAATTACTGAACTGATTGTAGGAAGGTGAGACTCTACCTCAGGGATTCTCTAGGAGTTCATGGAGTTATGAAGAGAATGTGAGAGAATCCATGGGGGGATCACTTTAAGGAAAACCAAATGCAATGGTTTTTAGGTGGTGTATTAGGCTGTTCTTGCATTGCTATAAAGAAATACCTGAAACTAGGTAATTTGTAGAGAAAGGAGGTTTAATGGGCTCACAGTTCTGCAGGCTATACAGGAAGCATAATGGCATCTGCTTCTGGGGAGGCTTCAAGAGGTTTAAAATAATGGTAGAAGGTGAAGTGGGAGTAGGCATACCATGAGCAAGAGTGAGTGAGCCAGGTACCACACACTTTTTTTTTTTTTTTTTTTGAGACAGAGTCTCACTCTGTCACCCAGGCTGGAGTGCAGTGGCACCATCTTGGCTCACTGCAGCCTCGGCCTCCCGGGTTCAAGTGATTCTCCTGCCTCAGCCTTCCCGATAGCTGGGACTACAGGCACATGACACCATGCCCGGCTAATTTTTTGTATTTTTAGTAGAGATAGGGTTTCACCGTGTTAGCCAGGATAGTCTCAATATCCTGACCTCGTGATCCCCCGACCTGGACCTCCCAAAGTGTTGGGATTACAGGCATGAGCCACTATGCCTGGCCGGTTCCACACACTTTTAAACAGCCAGATCTTGTGAGAACTCACTATCATGAGGAGAGCACCATGTGGTTAGTGAAATTTACTTATGAGATACCCACCACCATGATCCAGTCGCCTCCCACCAGGCCCTACCTCCGATATTAGGGATTACAATTCAATATGAGATTTGAGCGGGACAAATATCCAAACTATATCAGCTGGTGACCACAGATGATGATGTCTCATTAGCAAAATGTTAATCTTCTCTTGACACTCAGGGTGCCCAGGGTGTCTTTCTTATTATCACCACCTCCATCATCACACTATAGCCATGTATTTGGGTAGTACATTTTTTTTAACTTTCAAAAGTGCTATCACCCCTCTTGTTCACTTAACCTCACAGCCACTCATTAGCTCTGACATTTACTAGAGTGCATTCATTACTTAAATGAGATTAAATCTAAAATCAGCACATCAGGCAAAAATTGTGTAGAATTAAAATTACCCTTCAAAAAGCTCTTTAAAAGCTCATAAAATGTAGCACAACTGATTTTGTGTTTACTTCGTCTTCCTTATGAGGGCAATCTAACCAGTTTTCCTACTGCATTGAAAAAGATTACTTTTTTTTTTTTTTTTGTGGTTGAGTACCGGAAGTAGTAGTTTATATGCATTTGGGGCTTTGTGGTAGGAAAACTATCACTGCTGTTGTTATTTGCTGAATATGTGTAGTCGAATTTGCAAAGTCAAATGCTCACATGACATAATGCTACTGAAGTCTCTCCATGTAAAGATCAGGAGGGATACAGGCAAAGTGAAGTTAAGTAATTTGCCTAAAGTCACAGCTAGCTACTGAAAGAAATGAGTTTGATACTCCAGTCCTAACTTAGGGTTTCCTCCTATTAGATGGAAATTGGCTAATTACATCTACCTCTGGAAACGGATTGATTGCTAATGTTTGACTGGTTTCCTGAATTGATTAGGGTTCTGAGGCCCAGTCTAGGCTCAGCAAAGAAGAGCACAAAAGTCATCAGCCTGGCCAGGTGTGGTGGCCTGTAATCCCAGCACTTTGGGAGGCCCAGGCGGGCAGATCACTTGAAGTTCAGGAGTTCTAGACCAGACTGGCCAATATGGTGAAACCTTGTCTCTACTAAAAATATAAAAAAAAAAATTAACTGGGTATGGTGGTGCACCCCTGTTATCCTAGCCACTAGGGAGGCTGCGGAAGGTGAATTGCTTGAACCCAGTAGGTGAAGGCTGCAGTAAGCAGAGATCGTGCCCCACTGCACGCCAGCCTGGGTGACAGAGTGAGGCTCCATCTCAAAAAAAAAAAAAAAAAAAAAAAAAATCATCAGCTTGCCATGGGGCAGAGGTGAACTGCTTATCTCAAATTTGCAATTTCCCCACTAGACCACACTCCTTGAAAACTTGAAAATGGGAATATGGAGCAAAAACAGGGGAAAAATCAGAGATACTTTTTTCCTTTCTCAACCTGTCTATATAATCACATGAAAATTTTAAATTCAAGAATTAATCATATATTTCCAGTACAGTTTCAGTTAAATGAGAAGGTATAAGAAACATGAAAAAACATGAAGAGAAGAGATAATTGATTAACTTTTAAGTGTATCTTTATGATGGACAAGTTCTCAGAGTATTCATTAACTAATGGAATTATGGCAGTGTGTGATCGCTGTCTCTACAGAACAGGAGGTTAAAAAGTGCAAGAGCATAATAGCCCCTCGTCTCTCCAAGAGCTGGGAAATGGCCCCAGCACACTCACCGACGCTGAGAAGGATCGCGGATCTTATTGATATTCATGGTTATAGTCGTCTAAGCCTCAGTAGATGCTTCCACTTACGGACAGTCCTAGAGGATTAGGGAAAAAGAGAAAAGGAAAACCTGACCCTACATGCGGGAAACAGCCATTTAGAGATGGTGTGGCATTGGGTTCATGATTGCAGGGGAATTCATCTTGACAAAACATTTTACCCAACCTCCCTCAAGGCCGCTGGAAACCAAGCCCTGTTAGTTGTTCAAGCATGTATGGTGTCTGCCCCAAGTAGTGGTCCCTGGTTAGGCATGAGGACAGGACAGCATGGGAACAATTGTATAGACCTGCCCCCTAGAAGTCTCCTTTCACAGAACCAGCAGGGTTGGGTTTCTTTCACTCTGACATAAAGGGTCACCTTCTAGCTCAATGGGAAAGGAAGGCTCATCTGTGTCTACTGCAGAATGGCCAAGAGAACAGCCTGCTTCCTGCTGTTACTGGATATCGTTTGTCTTCAATACCTTTAACTGTATGGGTGGACCACCCATCCTCCTTCAGGCTTTAGGAAAAACTCTAACTGCCCAGGGTCTTCGTAGGTGGCAAATTTTTACTCAAACTTTGAGTGTTCATAATGGTGTCAGGGTACAGCGAGAAGACTTTCTGATACTTCAGAATTGGAGACAACTTAGTCTTGAATAATAGACATTAGCTCTTCTAACGTGTTCTTTGGTTATTGTGGCCATCTGGATTCTCTCTCTGCCCATTTCCCCCGTTAGTGGTCACTGCCTCCCTCACAGCCTCCTCCTGCCCTCTCCCTTCCTTGCCTCGGTTGTGTCTAGCATAACTCTTCTAGGTTACTCTGGAGGAGTCCTCACCCTAGACTTCTTGGTTGCCATCTGGAGCTCCTAAATTCCTGAAGTCCATTATTTTACTATGTCTTTGAGTTTCACATATCACTCTAATTTGGAACTGAGGCACATTTTTGTTTGTTTTGCTAATTAGTTAATTGTTTCAAAGAGAAAGCGAGAACTAAAATGTACTGAGTCTCTGCTAAATGCTAGGTATGATACTTGGAATATTTAAATGGTTTTATCATTTAAGAAATAAACTACCTCTATTTCTCACAGTGTTTTGGTACCTGAGTGCTGAAGTTAGACAGACCAGGTTCTAATTCCAGCCCCAACCCTCTCATAAGCTCTTAGGCAAGGTTATTTAGGTTATTTAACATTTCAGTTTGTTAATCTGTAAAGCAGGCGTAATAACCCCTGAAACATAGGCTTCATGTGAAAATTAAGACACTGTGAAATAAATGCACATAGAACCTCAATTAACCACATACTGTTACAATTATTAGTAATAATATTATGAAATTATTAACTGTTTCTGAACAGTTCAGTTGGAGAGACAAAATACATGCTTACTTCCATTTCTATGACATGATCACCCCCCGGGAGATCAAAGCCAAAGTGGTCCAAAGATAATTCCTGCCAAAGCACCCTCATAGTGTCAGAGGCATTTGAACCAGAGCAACTCCATCTTGAACAGACGCTGGGTAAAAAAGGCTGAGACCTACTAGGCTGTAGTCCCAGATAGTTAGGCATTCTAAGTCACAGGATGAGATAGGAGGTTGGTACAAGATACAGGTCATAAAGACCTTGCTGATAAAACAGATTGGAGTAAAGAAACAGCTGAAACCCGCCAAAATCAAAATGGTGATGGGAGTGACCTCTGGTCATCCTCACTGCTACACTCCCATCAGCACCAGGACAGTTTACAAATGTCATGGCCACGTCCGGAAATTACCCCATATGATCTAAAAACTTTAGGAACCCTCAGTTCTGGAATTACCCATGTTTTCTCCAGGAAATTCATGAACAATCCACCCCTTGTTTAGCATATAATCAAGAAATAACCATAAAAAGGGGCAGAGGCCCATGCTTCTGCTCTGCCTATGGATTATTTCTTTACTTTCTTAATAAACTTGCTTTCATTTTATTCTATGGATTAGCCTCAAATTCCTTCTTGCTTGAGATCCACAAACACTCTTTTGGGGTCTGGATTGGGACCCCTTTCCAGTCACAACAGCATACTGTGTTTGTAGAGTGTTGGGTTTACTGAGGACCCGTCAAGAAGGGGATCATGCCCATCACCACAGGTCTCAAGGGTCATACAGCAGCCTATCCATGCTTGTTTTCAGACACTGATAGTCACAGAAAATCCATTTCCATATTTCACAGCTTCAGATATACTTATATTACATATTAGTGCTTTCTCATTACTAATATAGTATAAGAAAAGAATGGTGAACATTAAGAAAACAAACAAAAAAGCAATGTGAATCTCTTACCTTGTGCCCTGAATGCTCCTTGACAGCTGCTCTCTACCTGTCCAGCCGCTGTTGCACTCTGGCCCTGCTTGTTTTTCTCCAGCTAGGCTCTTCCAGCAATAGAACAGAATGCCATTTTACAAACAAGTATAGAAACCAAGAGTTTTCCTCCCCCACTTAACTCTGTGCCAGCCATGCTCAGAGCGATAGAGCAGAACACTGTTTCATGTGAAACACAAAAAATGAGAGCTTTCCTAAAGACTGGTAATAACTACCTATCATTTTATAATGGACACAAAGATTTCATTTATTATCTCAATAGAAACTATTACCATATGTAGGAGTAAAATTAATCCTGAAAAATAAGTGATATCTATATGAAGGACAAACAAGAAATTTTGGTGGAAGTCTTAAACAGCAGGGATATGATACCCGATATTCATGGAACATGGGGAGCTTTTGATTTATCTTAAAATAATGTATTATGAGTTAATGCTTCATCTATCTATGTGGCTAGATACAAACTTAAGCTGGCAAAGACTGTCTAAACCTCACAGTCGGTTCTCTCATCCACTAACACCCCTCCTCCTAATTTCTTCATATTAATGATCCCCAAATTGCCCATATTATTAAATCTTAACCTCACCTTTAATGCTCCCTTCTTCATACAACTAATCTGTTTCCATGTCTTATTGAACACATACACTATACCAGGAGCTGCTTGATAAAAACTTACAAAGCTGACATTTCCTAACACTGATATACTATTCCCTAGTATATCACAATATACTCCTAAGTCTCCCTGCTTCCCACTCCTGTGGTCACTAACCTAGTCCTGGTGGAACAATGGCAATCTTCTTGCTGATCTTGTTATCCACGCTCAGTATTCATCCTTATCTTATACAGTCATTGCAGTCATCTCCCAGTGTAGCTCTGAACCTGTTACTTCCCTGATTACAAAGTCTCAATTGCTTTCCATTTTATACCCTCAAAAGTCTCAAATTTAGAACTGTCAGGAAAGTCCTCCACAGTGTACTTCTTACAGTCTTACGGCCTTCTCTTGATTATTTTAAATTTTAATTTTACTGTGAAATATGTGCAACCTTCAAAAAGTATAGGAGGCTCATGCACTGCTAAGCCTAAACAAAATTAAACAATACAATTGTTAAAAGAAATAGTTCTTCCCTATATCTTTTGTTTCTTTTCATGCAAGGGACGCCCAGTTGGCATAAGGCACTAATGTATCTTGGGAGATGGAGTAATTAGCAGATTGGAAAACCCTGGAATGTGGAGTGCAGTTTCTTCTGCCTTTCTCTGGGGGATGAATCTGACTGCAGAAAGCTCAAGTTTGTATGTGCAACTCCTTGCTAGGATTACCTGTGACAAGGTGGTTGAATTTGCCTAAACCTAAAATCCATTTAGCAGATCTGAGCTACATTTTTGAGTTTTGTCTTTTTTGATAATAAACAGGTATTTTGCTGTATAAATGGAGTCATGACTATATAACATTTGAGTATGGCTTTTGTTCATTCAGCCTAACTCCTTTGATCTATGATAGACGAAAATAATGCTTCCCCACCTCAAAAGATGCCAACGTTTTTATTCTCTGAAACTATGAATATAAAAAATACAGCAAGAGAGACACCATTGCTGTGATTAAGGACTTTGAGATGAGAAGAGCATCCTGGCTATCCAGGTGGACTTAGAATAATCCCAACGGCCTTTTTAAGAGGGAGATAAGGTGAGGCCCGGCGCAGTGGCTTCCATCTGTAATCCCAGCACTTCGGGAGGCTGAGGTAGGCAGATCACGAGGTCAGGAGATAGAGGTCATCCTGACCAACATGGTGAAACCCTATCTCTACTAAAATACAAAAAGTTAGCCGGGTGTGACGGCGATTGCCTGTAGTCCCAGCTGAGATTGCACCACTGCACTCCAGCCTGGTGACAAAGCATGAATCCGTCTCCAAAAAAAAAAAAAAACGGTTAAAGAAAAGAAGGAGATGTGATAATGGAAGCAAGAGATTAGAGTGATATAAGGACAGGATCATGAGCCAATGATTGCAGGCAGCTTCTAGAAGCTGAAAAGGGGGAAGGAAACAGCTTCTTCCCTGAAGCGTCTGGAAGGGAGTCAGCCTAGCCAACATCTTGATTTTATAATCTCAACCTCCAGAACTGTCAGAGAAGAAATTTGTGCTGTTTTAAGCCGCTGTATTTGTGGTCATTTGTTACAGAAGCAATAGGAAGCTAATACAAAATCAATCTATTCCTGCATGTGTCAATAGTTTGTCTCTTTTAATTGCTGAGGAGTATTCCATGGTGTGGAGGTACCACAGGGTTTGTTGAATTGTTCTTCTGTTGAAGGATATTTGGGTCATTTCTAGTTTTGAGCTGTTATACCCGCTATGTACATTTTCATACAGGTTTTTGAATGAACATGTATTTTCACTTCCCTGGCATTAGTGCTGTAGAGTATAATGGCTAAGTCATACGGTAAACACATGTTCAACTTTGTAAGGGACTGCCATATTTCCCCCCTGCTATTTTTTTTGAGATAACTAAATTGAAAGATGCTGTAAGACCGGCATAAAAAATATCTCTGACCATTTGAGCTCTAATACAATTCTTGAGTCCCCAAAGTTATATAAGCAGGAAGCAGGATCCAGTTTCTACATAGCCCCCGAGGATTATACACTTCCTAACCCATTTCGGATATTGTAGAAAGAATGATGCGCAAAAGGAATCTCTAGGGGTGCTGAGGACAAGATAGTTCCTCCCAAAGAGCAGAATTGAGATCTAACCAAGGAATGATTCCAATGTCAGGCAGAGGGAACTCATATACTCACCCAACAGAATTAGATTGCTCTTTTCCTGGTATGTGCTCCCATTGTCACTTTTGTGAATGGATATGTTGATTGGAGTTATACTATCCATGATGATAGTGGAGGTGGGGATTGGGAGGAGTATATGATTTTTCTTTTGATTCATAAATCACTGGATGACAAAAAGCCCCATTCAGACCTAATGCAGAGGAATGCATGTCACCTGAACCATAACTTTGAACTGAATTTCCCACAAGGTAGGACTTTGGATGTTTCTCGGAGCAAGAGTGGATATGCTTTATGAATGATGTTTCAATGAACAATTTAATTTAAGAGTTTAATTTAATATGTTTTAATGAAATAGGTATTTGGTAACTATAAAATAAAGACTCAATCAGTAACTGCTAGATGAATAGCAAACTCATTTTCTCTTCTTTCTGGTCTAAATTTCAGTCTACCTTTCCAAATAGTCTAAATTTCTCAAACTCTTTTAGTTAGGTGTGGCAGTGTTACCTGTTGACCAGAAACAACTTTGCTGGTTGTGTTAAAATGCTGATAACGTGAGATTTATCTACTAACAGCAAGCATTGCCCCTAGCTAATACACTGTCTTATTCCATAAATAATTCTAATATTTTACAAAAAGTATGTTTTCTAAAGTTTGTATAGCTATTGTTCTTTAGGTTAAAGAAGTTTCTTTCTATTCCTGATTTTCTAAGAATTCTTAATATAAATGCATGTTGAACTTTATCAAAAGGTTTTTCTTTCTGTAGCAGTTAATGTAGTTGCATATGCAGACTTTCCAGGGTTAAACTACCCCCATATTTCTCAAATAAACCCTATTTGTTTTACATATAATGCTGAATTTGGTTTTTATTTGTGATTTTTATATCTATATTCATAATACTGTCCTTTACTATAATTTTACTTTCTTTTCCTATTCTTGTCTGATGTTTGTGTAAATGCCATGTTAACTCATAAAATGAGTTATCTTTCAATGAAGTTAGTCTGCCATATATGTCAAGTCACATGTAGATTCAGAGAGAACCTCATGCATAAGCAACAGATTTTCATTCTGAACAGATGCCATTTCTGAATTCCTTGATCCCTTTTTCTCAGGCTGCCCATGGACTCTTCTTAAGGAGTCCAAATATATCTCTTAAAAGAGTGGCATGCAAGGCTTGGCTTGGCTTATTTCTTGGATAAGAGAGATAGAAGGAAATCTATTTGGACACTTTCTCTGACTTACTGAGCTTACTTTGCTAAATTTTATGTTCAGCTTTATGTGTTTATCTCTCTTTTGGCTTCAAATAAGAGATAGTCCTACATCTAGCCTCAACACCAAAAAAGTGACAACTTTGGAGCAAATGGGACGGACTAACATTGCAATCAAACAAGATTACTTGATGTTTGCCTAATCCTTGGCAAACTGTCACCTCTGTAGCTTTGCACACATTGTTCCATCTATCTAGAATGGGCTTCTTTCTCATCCCTGCATTACTAAATCCTGTTATGTTTCAAGGCTTCGCTCAAATGCTATGTCTTCCATGAAACCTTTCCTCATAACCCCTATAACACTTTGGATTTTTTTTAGTGTGTTTTTTCTTTACTATTTAATTATTACTGCAAAACATTACTCCAAACCTTCCCAGTTTAAATGACAAAAACATTTATCATCTCACGGCTTCTATCAGTCAGGAATTCAGGAGTGGCTTTGTCCTGCTGTTTCAGGGTCTCTCCTGGAGTTTCAGTCAAGAAGTAGGCTTGACTGGATCTGGAATATTGGCTTCCACACTGGCTCCTTGCATGGCTGGCAGGCTGATGCTGGCTACTGATGGCAGGCCTCAGTTTCTCTCTACACAACCCATGGCTGCTTGGATGTCTTCACATGCAACTGGCTTCCTCCAGAGCAGGTGATTCAAGAAACAGCAAGGCAAAACCTAGAATATTCTTTATGACTAAATCTCAGAAGTCACTCCCTGTCATTTTGTTGGTATTTTATTGGTAACACAGGTAGCCACAATTCAGCACGGGAGGGGACTACACAAAGGTATAAAAACCAGGAGGCAATTGTTGAGGGTCATCTAGAAAGCTGAGTATTGCACTTATTCTTTTGTATTATGATTAGTTTTGTTTAAATGTCAGACCATCCTGAGAGGGAAAATTCATTTTGGGGTTATCTTTTTCATCTTTTTATCTTCTACATAATCAGCATGTGGTAAATACATGATGCATGTTTCATGAGAGAACAAATAAACAATGATAAGAAATTCAGGTGGCATTGTAGAGACTATCAGTCCTCCCATTCAATGATACCATCCAGACAGACAAATCTTAGTCATAGTTCTTGGAATAGGAACAGAAGTGGCTGTCTGGAAACTACTGTAACTGCAAAACAAAAAAACAAACAAACAAACAAAAAAAAGTGACCTACGTTTGCCATT